CCGTGCTATAAAAAGATTCTTGTCAGTATCACTCTCCTACTTGGCCAATGGTACAGGAATGTCTTCATGGCATCTTTTCCTGTGCCTACCTGCATCCACATAGTGTCTGGCATGTCATGTAGTATTTTGGCTCTTACCTTCCTCAGCTTGAGATTTAAAATTCACCCTGAGGACTTAACATTTATTGTTTCTGACCTGGTATGGCTGCAAAAATGAGCGTGTAAGAGTTCAAAGAGCCAGACAAGTGAGAAGTTTGTGATGTAATTTAAATGTTAAGTCCAAGACCTTTACAAGGATGATTTTGATCATTTGGGACGCTTGTCTTTGATGTTATGCTGCCACCCTGTGGTCATTCTACGAATGAGTAGTAAATTATGAAAGACTCATCTATCCTTGCTTTTTCTTGATCTATGATTTAATTGTATTGTCTTTCTAGATTTCCTACTTGGTTTTTTCCTTCCATTTCCTTTTAACCCCTCCTCAGTTTCTTAAGAATGCCTGACCTCAATCTTTGCCCCAGGGCCTTCTCCAGTGACCTAAACTAGCCCTTGATCCAGCCACTCTCATCTCAACAGTCTTTGTCCCAGGATGCACCCACCTTCTTTCCAGTGTTCTTTACCTAAATGCCTTCCCTAGTTCCCTGCGTGAGCCTCAATCCTTTGTCCTGGTCCCAGTGCCTTTTCCGGTACTCCAGATGTCACCTCTCCGACCAGATAACCCTCAACTTCTTCAGCCTGGCAGTGCCACTTCACTGTACCCCACACCTCCATATGTCTGCCTGCTCTTGCCTACTGTGACGCAGGTTTCATTAGACCACAAGGGAGGACCTTGAAAGCCTAAATATCTGTCCCTCTCAATATACTTCTTTCCAGTCACCAATACTCTGCCTGGACTTGTTTTTCAATGGTTAGCACACTCCCACTCCCTCATATTCTCCCCATTCCAGTGATCCTGAACTGCCATCCCCAATGCCCTAATGTACAAATACTATTTCTCATCTTCAACTGTTTGCTCACTCATTCCTATCCCCCTCAATCCTCCCAACCCTTCCTGTCCCACTTCATATGTGCCTGATCCTTCCACTGCACTCTCTACAATGCCTGCTCCATAATTAATATACTTGCTTTCATCTTAGACCTTTTCCTTTCACACTGCTCACATCTGGCATTCCTCCTAATGACACTGAATCCTTGGCTACCCTTGCCAGTACTGACTACACTTTCACCACTGGTCATGATGGTCCATTGCCACTTCCTGACTCTCCCTACTTGTCAACCTTGCCTCCTTTGAGGTTCACATCTCCCAAACCTATCACCCAATCTACAGCCTATTGGAACAGATCCTGGGACACACGCTCCACCCCACCGCTGCCCAAGACAATCTCCTGCCTTCTTCAGTGCCTGACTCAAAATTTTTCTCTCCACCATACGTCCTGCTCCCTCAATTACCCTAACTTCTCAATTCCTCAATCTACTGGATTCCCCAAACCTACTAGTATACAAGTCAAACCTTTTGCATTTCTCTAATTAATTATCTATCCCAATCATCACATCACCTATTCCAAACCTTTTCATCCCCCTTAAGCCTCCTATGGCACGCCTCCTCTCATCATCTCAGCTAAGGACCTTGCTTCATACTTCATCGGAAAAATGAGGTCATTCATTGAGTTATATCTTCTTCCCCTTTCTTCTTCTCATATCACTCAGAGGCTTTAACCCACTAACTCCTCTTTTACTCCTGTTTCAGACGAAGAGGTAGGTCCTTCCTTGCCAAGGCAAACCCTTCTATATGCACCCTTGATTCCATCCTCTCCTGTATTCTCCATCAGATTGAACCCACTATCATCTCCTTTCTCTCTCTCTCTCTCTCTCTCTCTCTCTCTCTCTCTCTCTCTCTCCCTTTCTCTTTCCTAATCTCTCTTTTTCTTCCCTAATCGCCAATCTCTCCTTATCTACTTACTGGCTTCTTCCCTATTGCCTAGAAACAACAGTTTCTCCCTCAGCCTAAAAAAACCAAAAACAAACACACTTGATGCTGCCATTCTCACTATTGTAATTTGTTAACCTCTTTGAAAAAAAAACTAGATGCCTCCACTTTCTATCCCTTTACTTGATTCTAAACTCTATGCATCCTGGCTTCCAACCTCTTCATTCAAGTGAAACTGCTCTTTCCAAAGTCACCAGTCATTAATTGCTAAATCTAATGATCTCTTCTCAATCATTCTTTTTTACCTCTCTGAAACCTCTGACAAAGTTGACCACCCACTTGTCCGGGATTCTCCTTCCACTTACTTTTCTTGACACTGATCACTCCTGGTTCTCTTCCTACCTGTCTGACCACACTTCAGTCTACTTTGCTTATTTTTCATCCATATCATGCCCACTATTTGTGGCTGTTCCCCCCAAAATTCTGCCCTGAGTCCTCTTCTCTTTTCCCTCTGTTCTGTCTTGATTGGTGAGCTCATCATTTATCATGTGTTCAACTATTATCTCACTACAGATGATTCCCAGATCCATATATCCAACCCTAAACTACTGATGAATTCTAGCTTCGCATCACCAACCTGCTTCTTGGATATATCAAATTGGATGTGCAGGCACCTCAAATTCAATGTGTTTAAAACATAATTTCTTATCTTTATCCCAAAACTCTTCCCAACTTTCCTGTCAAGGGTACCAACATCTTACAGCTCACAACCTCAAATCCTCACTCACATTCACTCCAACATTTTATGAAATCTTATAGTTTCTACCTTCAAAACATCTTTCATATAAATCCCAGCTCTCCTCTGATTCTGTCACCACCCTGATGCAGGCCCTCATCACCTTTCACATGGACTATTATAATAATCTCCTAACCGGTCTCCGTGCTTTAAGTCTCTCCTCACTCCAATCCATCCTCTGTTCCACTAAAGTCTGCAACATAAGTCTGACCACATTACTCCCCTACTCAATAAACTTCAGTAGCTCTCAGTTATCTCCAAGATTAAAGACAAAATGCTGTTTGTCTTTTAAAAGTTTTCACAACCTGGTCCTTTCCCCCATTTCCACCATTCTTCTACTTTACTTCCCTCACATATTCTATGATCCAGCTTCACAGGCCCGCTTGCTAGTCCTCAAACTACTCTCTCTCCTGGTTTCACATATTTGCACCAGCTGTCCCCCATTTCTGGAGTGTTATCTCTCCTCACCCTGAACTCCTAGCTTCTTCCCCCACCCACTTCCTTCAAGACTCAGCTCAAGTCATCCTGTCTTCAGGAGCCCTTCCCTGCTTGTCTCCCCTTTTCCTTTAAAGAGGCCTTTCATTAACACTGCATATCTCTTGTATGTACATAGTTACTTGCTTTCAATTTCCCCAACTAGAATGTGATCTCCTCGAGGGCAAGAAGCATGTTTTTGCCTTTTTTTTTTTTTTTTTTGTATCCCTAGCACTTAACCACAGTGCCTGGCATAGAATAGGTCCTTAATAAATATCCGGAGACCTGCTAACTACACATGGGTGTGGAGCTGATTTCCAGCTGATGCCTAAGGTCTCTTCTATTTACTGGCTTCTTTCCTATTGCCTAGGGAAATCCTGTGAGCCTCTAATACTTAAATGGGGTATTACTGCCCACCAGTACAAAGTGATAACCCAAACAATACCAACAGAGATTTGAGGATATGCAACCAGCAACAGTGTTCAGCCAAAAGTAAGCAGATTTAGTATAAAATACAAAGTATTTTATTTATTGTTACTCATAGAGAATAGTACATAATATGTTACATATAGCAAGACACAAATCATCTTGTTAATATTCTACAATGTGTGACAGAAGACAAGTTATTGGTAAATTTTTTGAGGATTAAAGCAAGCAAAGATCTTAAACAGCTAGCTCGTTTTAGGAAAATTTTAAAATAGCTAGTAATAACAGCTAACATTTATAAAATATTCATTACGTGCCAGGCACTGTGCTAAGCACTTTACAATTATTAACTCATTTGTTCTTCACAACAACCCTAGGAAGTTTATTTTTAGCCCTATTTTACAAATAAGGAAACTGAATCAGACAAAGGTTAAGTGACTTGTCCAGGGTCACACTAATATCTGAGGCTACATTTGAAGTCAGGTCTTCCTGACTCCAATCCCTGTGCTCTATGTGCTGCGCCACGTAGCTGCCTCAGCCTTTGCTAATTCATTTCCCCAAATGAAATGTCGTTTCAGGTACAAAACAAAATGAACCTGATGGAGTTACAGCCTACAAATATCAAAAGATGACACAGGAAATATAGCCTGACAAGCTGTCAGATTTTCCAAAGCGTCTGACCTACAACAGCACATCCATATTAGGAAGTTCTTGTCTTATGCTTCTTTGTTTCTTTTTTTGTTTTCTTCTGTCCTTTTGATTCTGCCTCCCTCTACAGAGACATCAAATCCTCATACGTAATGACTGTTTGGGGCTACCCATCAGAAAGGTCACAAATTTTAAAAGTAAACAAAAAAAAACCCTATGCTTATCTGTTTTGTTTCTGGAATTGATCCTACCGCTTATAGCACCTACACAACAGTCTTTCATACATACTAAAGTCAGAATGTTCTACCACCCACCCACCTACCCCCATTTCCACAGGCTGAAATCTTACTTAGCCTTCAAGACTGAGTTTTACCAGAAACACTAATCTTCCTATCAAATCCTTAAACCAGTTTGAGATGAGGCAGTGAGATGAGACAAACTCCCTTTTGAAATGTTAATGATCACAGAATGTTTCTCAAATGACCCTCTTACAAAATGAAGTACTGCATCCCTCAGAGCATACACCCTGAAAGGCAACCAAAGAACAGGAATTCTCCCCCCACCACCCAGTACTGGTTATCTTATCCGGTTGTTTGCTGTTGCTAGGCACAGGTGAGGCTTAGCCAGTGTCTATGTGTAAATCACCATGGTAGGCACTGGAAAAAACACAAATGAAATTATTCCTGGCATTAATAAGGAACTTATTTTCTACTAGAGGTGGGAGGAAGATATGATATATCCATAGATAAATATAAGAGAAAGTAATTTAAAGAAGAAGAAAGTAATAACAACTGGAAGTAACCCAGGAAGACTTCACAGAAGAGGTAGAACCTGAGGAAGATAAGGTAGGATTGAAGAAAGCATGCATATAAGGCATGGGGGATGACTTGAATAAATACTGGATGATGGAAGACAGAATACCAACTTTAGGAAACAGTGAGCAGTCTAGGGTGGCTACATTTTGACAAACTCAGGCAACAGAGTTACAGATTCCCTCCCTGGAACTGTCTGAGACTTTTCCCCAGGGACTCTTGTGGGGCCGATCCCAGAGCAGAAATAATGTTTCATTTTCTTGGACCTCACACTGCACTTTGTACTTAGCTCCCACAATTCACCATTTAGTTGTTTGCAAACACGGCATATTCCCTGCTAGATTGTTTTAAGCTTCATAAAGACAAGATGCATGTCTTATTCATTTTTATACCTGACCCAGCACTTTGCACAGTTCACTAAAGAGTAGAATGGAACTGAGCTCGGAATATTAGCTGGCAATATTAAATAGGTGTTCCCTTGCTGGACTGAATCTTTGGGTTCGTTCCATGGGCACCTTGCAAACATTTTGCCAGATATCCAGACATAATGAGAGTGTATGTGTATATAGCACTTACAACTGCACTAAGACTTTTGGAACACCCTGTAAACATATATTTATGCATTAAATAGATGGTTTGAAATTCAAATAAATTGGGAAGGCTCTGGAACTTCCCGTATCCTAGCATTAGTTACTTTGCAAACATTACCACAGCAATGACTAATCCAACAGAAAAAGGTATTTATAATTTGTAAGAACAAATCTCCAACTAACATGAGATGTAAAACATAAGACAGTATTCAGCTGATAAGGAGAAACATTTTTACAGTACTAATATCCTGAGCAGCTACCCCCAAGTTGCTGAAGAAATGAAGTAAAGATAAAATATGACCTGACCCCTTACCTGGAATGTGATCTAAACCTAGAGGTGACATGATGGTAATTACAGCTATTGTTTGGTTTTAGCTGTTACAGGATTGTGTACAAATTGTGAAGAACAAACTCAGTTCTCCAATTATTTCAAGGTAAGCAACAATTTTACTACACTTAATGGAGCTTATTTAGGTGGATAAAAGAACATCTATTTAAAACTATTAAAGGCTAGTCTAGCCCCTCCTCTGAGCACCCATCCCACTTGAGTGTTTGACCACTCAACGGTAAATCAAAACCAGACCAAGAGAAAGGACATTGTGAGGCTCCTAAACATGCTTCAGCTGTTATTACAGGAAATCAGTGACCCCAGAAATCTGCTGCTGGAAGAGCAGTGGAGACTGTGGAAATCACAGAATGATTTTCAAGCAACAAAGGAGATAAGCTACCAATTTCCTGGATGTAGTCAATCAATCAATCAATCCATAAGCATTTATTAAGCGCCTACATTGTTCCAGGTACTATGCTAGGTGCTGGGAATACAAACACAAAAATATTAAACAGTCCCTGCCTTCAAGGAGCTTTATTAAGTACCTACCACGTGCCAGTCATTATTATGTTTGCCACTAGGGATACAAATATGCAAAACTCAGAACAGTATATTAGAAACCATAGGCTTTAGATAGAACTAGGTTATTACAAACTGAAATCCAAATATATACTTATTTCCTGGGACTTTCACAGACAAAAGGGGCTGGAAGGGTCATTTGGAGTGTCATAAGGATATCTATGAAGTGAAATCTTTCCTTTTTCCCCTTCTAGGAATCTGAATATGCAAAAGCAAATACAGAGTTTTTCTAATACATGGGCATAATTATTCTCCTTCAGAACCAGAGGTTTGTCTGCTACAATATTACCTCCTCTGATGAGGGTGTAATTTAGTAACTATAGTTTTTCATGAACTGTTTATATATACAATGTCCTCCTTGTCAGTGGCGGTTAATAAAATACAAATGTAGAAATGGAGCCACTATACCAGGAATACCTAACAAATCATGGAACTGTAGTAAGACCTTATTATTGGTTGGCCTTGACTCTAGAATGTTCTAAGTGCCCTTATCATATCCGGACGGGCGAAGAAGCAAGAGTTACCCACGCTGAATTTTATCAGATCTTTGGATTCCCTTGTGGGCCAAGTCCTCAAACCAAACATCTCACATTTTATGAACTGAAAAATTCTTCTGGAAACCTGGTGCAAAAGGGGCATGCTTCAGGTTGCAGTGAGTATGATACCCACCCAGAATCTATGTTATTTGAGATGGGCAGTTATCTTGAGACAGTCATACATAACAACGACAACATTGAGTATATCCTTCTTTATTCTAACTACTGTCCTTGTAACGAAGCCAACCACTGCTGCATTAGCAAAATGTACAACTTCCTGATGAGGTATCCAAGCATCAGTCTCAATATTTATTTCTCTCAACTTTATCATACAGAGACTGAATTCCCTGTTTCAGCATGGAACCGTGAAGCTTTACGAAGTCTGGCCAGTTTATGGCCTCAGGTCACTCTGAACCCAATAAGTGGTGGAATTTGGCATTACCTTCTGCATCATTTTGTGAGTGGTATCTCAGGGGCAATTCTTTACCAACCACTTTGGCCTGCAAGAGCACTGGCTGACAGGCATAATGCTTATGAAATCAATGCAATCACAGGAGTGAAACCATACTTCACTGATGTACTTCCCCAGACAACAATGAACCCAAACACAAAAGCTCAACTGGACTTACAGAGATGCCCTTTAAGCAATGTGTCTCCTCAGGAGTCCTCTCAAGTGATGAACAACCAACTATCTCCCGTGATGATGACCCCAGAACAGAGGATGCCTGTCATTTTTATGTTAGTGCCTTTCAGGGATCAGCAACTACCCAGTGCAGGTCAAAACCAGCCCAAACCAAAGAACATTGTAAGGCACTTAAACATGCCTCAAATGCTATTACAGGAAACCAAAGACCCCAGAAGACCCCCTGCTGGAAGACTAGTAGAGACTGTGGAAATCACAGAACAATTTTCAAGTGGCAAAGAAGTAAGTGACAAGAAAAAGAAAAAAGTAAACCCACATTTTAAAAAAGATAATACTAACAGACATTAAATGGCTTATGAGGTTGTTGATGTGTGTTTGATAGCTTTCATCCCTGAATCAGCTGAATCTGGACTACCTAGAAAGCAATCACACTAAAATGCAATTCCATTACATTTTTTTATTATGTCAACAGCTAGCAGCCACACCACTTTTAGCAACATTTGAAGTTTTTCCAATAAACAACTTGACCCTTCTTCAAGTGGTAGCATCAAAGCAGAACTCTAAGTCATTCCCCAACAGTATTATGTGGAAAAGGAATGGTTTTCCAGTTGGCCCACCTCATCATTGAGCATTTAAAAACAAACAAACAAAAAAAAAAAAAAATGAAGTGGACTAAATTGAGTCCTTAGTTTCAGTATAAAGATTTATTGTGAAGTTGGAAACCTGCCTGAAGTAACTGACATTAAGTGCTGTTTGCAGTAGCAAACCAGTGATTTTCCATTAATCATTTATTGTCAGCAGATAGATTTTAAGCAGCCCACTTTCTCTAAAGTGATTCAAAATAATTATGTGCAAGGAGAAGCCATTCTCCTAACTGATTTAACACATCTATGAAAATAGATTTTTAAGCTCAGTCACCCACTCATGATGACTCTTACCTAGGTTCCTTCCCAAATGAAATTTAGTTAGTGATTAGATATTTGGGTGATTGGGGCATTCAGCCTTGAGCAATATAGTAACTATTAACTAAAATATAATATCTACCTATCTCCAGCAGGCTTTCAAGGTTCCTTTCCACTTGCCTGTTTCATGTATGGATGTCTTACCTTCCCAATTTGGTTATAAGTTTCTGGAGGATATGGGCTGTGTGTTATGCATTTTTTTAAAAAATTCCTTTAGAATCAAGCACAGTATGATGCCCATATTTGATGGTACCTGTATCTTACTAAATTCATTATTTATCACTCCTACCATACAACCATTCTAGCCAACCATCATCTTGCCATGCCTGACTTCTGACTTGGATTTACCATCTTCCCTATAAGGAAGGCTATCACTACCTACCCCTCCCCACCAATCTATGTCCCTTAGTTCTTCCAAAATTGGCTCAACATTCCTCTTCCTGATTAACCTGTTCACATCTATACTTACTTATTCTTTTTATGTCATAATGATTTATAACTCACTTGTATCCTGTCATCTAAATAACAGTAAGCCTTTTCAAGTATGTATATTCCCAACCAGAAGTAGGGGGCTAAGATCCATTAAAAAAAAAAAACAGAACTTTCCCATAGTTCTCAACACATAATATGAATTCAATAAATGTCAATGAATAGTTCAGAGATTCAAAAAGAAGTACAGAATTACTCTAAAGTTTTATTCTCCAGTAACATGGCAATGGGGATACAGAATCCATGCACATGAGAAGAGGGAAGGTATATGTAGATATTATGGTACTGTCTCAATTAAGCACCCCATCAGTCACAAATATCCCAATATTCACAATCAACTTAAAAATCATTGAGCAATTTGGTTTGCTCTGTGACTCCTGTAGGATTGCCCTACTCACAATCCTGGAAAGCCTCTGGAACACTGGAGCCAGCTTTAGAATTGGAATAATCCCTTGCTGTAGGTAGGTTCTGGTCCCTCTCATTGGCCCCATAATGAACCTGACTGACATCTAAACAGATATCTCAACTGGTATGTGCTATATCCCACTTTCCATCCAAGTCTTTATTTCTCTGATGTATATTAGATTGGGGATGGAAGGGTAACAGAATGTGATAATAAATCTCACATAGGGTCACTCATCCTGGGCAAGTCAGTATCTTTCTATTGTCTTAATTGTATTAAAGTTTAGTGGAAAGACTGCACAATCTATTGGGTTCTGTGGTCAGACTGGATAGTCTGAGTAGAATATCCCAAAGGGCAATCAAAATGAAATGGCCTCTTCGGGAGTAGAGACTAAGGAATTATTCATCCACAGTACATAATCTCAAAAGACTTTGGCTATGATGAGGTAAAAACAAAAAAAAACAAACCTCTAGTAAGAATTTCTGACCATCAAACAGCCTATGAAAGCCTATTTAGTAAAAGATAACTTACTACATTTTCTTTAGATTCACTATATTTCATTTCTTTGGCTTGTTCAGATCCTGAGCCTTGGAGTGAATGTTAATGTGTATTACTAATTTGAGTGTTATAGCATATGATGAAAATTTTTTTTTTTTTGGAAAGTGAAAGCAAAAAAATTATCAGGGTAGGCATATAAAAAAGGTGAGGAAAGAGAAAGAGAAGAATGGCATGTTCTTTTAAATTTCATCAAAACTTTGGACTACAGTTTTATCAGAAGATCCTATTACCTACAGAATAAAGGTCAAACTCTGCTTGCACTCAAGACCTTTCACAAGATGATGCTGCCTTCTCCCTTTTCAGTCTTGTGTAATTCTCCTTCATGCACTTCCATCCACATGCCCCAGACAAATTAAACTGCTTGCTCCCTGCATTTCTACCCTCCCTACCCTAATATCCATTCTGTTCTCCTTTATTCATACAGTTCCCTACACCTAGAATGACTTCCTCCCCACCCCTGCTTTGCCTGTTAAATTTCTACCCATTCTTTAAAGCCTAACTGCTATACCACATCCTATCTGTACAGATACCTTTCTTGATTGCCTACCCCTGAAATTTGTTAATAATCTTTTCTCCTCAGACCCCATAGATACTTTGCAATATTATCTATGATAGCTATCTCTACTAGATGGTAACTTCCTTTAAGGCAAATAAAATATCAAATCTCAACCTTGTCATAGTTAGCTTTGAGAAAAGGTAAACTTATGCTGTAAATATATCACATATAATACACTAAATACTCTATTAATCTTAAAATTCAATTAGTCAGTTCAATTCAATTTGAAAAAAACAAAACTTTATTTTTCTTTCAATGTGACCCTTCCCAGTCATAGATATATAGAGAATGATTTTGTACTTTTTAAAAAAAAAAAATTTGTAGAAGAATTAGATTTATGGAGAACGGAATGGTTGGATAGTTTACTATGTCTACTACAGCACTATGTAAATATAATATTATTATAATGACTAAATCACAAATATAAAGCTGAAATTGATTATAGAAATACTTCTAAATTTTGCTGAGCTTTGTGAAAGAATATAGCATGATCAAAATGATGAGTTGTCAAGTCAAAAGGAATAAAAATGTTACAGATTTTAGAACACAAGGCAGGGAGGGAAAGAGGGAGGGAGGAAGGAAGGAAGGAAGGAAGGAAGAAAAGAAAGAAGGAAGGAAGGAAAGACATTTTAAAATGAGTAATTCTTTAAATCTGATTCTAAGATTAACCAAATGACAACCTTAACACAGTGCCTGGCACTCAGTAAGTGCTTATTAAATGCTTGTTAACTTGATTTGACAAATTACTGCCAGTCAATACAAAATGCTTTCCAAAAAGCCTCTTAAATCCTGAATGGTAATGCCTCATTAGGGATGCAGAGTAGTGACATTTAACATATCCAGTATACTTCCTACATTTCCAAAATCTGAAATTTCATCAGTATAGATTTTCCCTGCACCAATGTAGATCACAACCCCTCTTCAACTTAGGATACGGTCTTCAAAGGTTTACATGACACAAAAATCCATTACCTTGAGGACAATTTGATGATAAACTTCTCTGCAATTAGCTAAGTTACCTAAGTAAGATTAGCTAAGCCAATCCTCAGACAACAGACATGAAATCACTAGGCCATACTGAAAGCCTTTCCATCTATGTATGACTTGAGAAATATTATGCTACACTGATATAAGCTTCAACAATCCAGTGTTATCTTCTGTACGTGTAAATTGTTTGCCTTCTCAATGACAGGATAGGAGAGGAAGTATGGAAGGGAATTTGGAACTCAAAATTGTAAAAAATGAAGGTTTAAAATTGTTTTTATATGTAATTGAAGAAAATAAAATATTAAAAGAAAAAAGAGTCCAGTGATAACACAATGAACACCAGAGTAGGACTCCAGTAAAGGATTCTTTAATACCTGAATGAATCTGTGATCTCACACATGTGAGTACTCCCCCTCCAACAGTTCAGAATACACACAAATCATTCACAGTTTCTCAATTTGTGCTGCTCTTGTCCATGACTTCCCCAAGAAGCCCACACAACATGCTGGAGGTCTAACTCTAGGTGAACTCTTGACATTGTGCCAGTGATATCAATGGAGCACATATCCTGTCCATTGGTTATCCCTCATTCTCCCTACAAGACTAGCCTGCCTTCTTTTCCAGTTATACATCTTTTTGATAATATCCTTCATACCATATGCAATTCTTCATTGGACGTATGCCATAGCCTATCTACAGCCACCATGCATTTCTTTGAATGACCTATTTTAATTCTTTGGAGACTGTGGTATTCCATAAATCAAAACCTTATAGCATCACTGAAAGAATATTGGTGTTAAAAAGGAAGTCTTCTGTTTCACATAAAACTTGGAGCCATTAAAAACAGTGCTCAATTTTTCAAATACACCCCAACCCTTTCTCCTCCTTCTACCTAATCCTGGATCCAGGTTACCAAAAATTTATTTATATCTCCATTATATATACTCCTGTTACAATTTTATAAATTTGACTTACTATCAATCCTTAATCTCACAATTTTATTACTACACATATATAGATGTTTTACCACATGTATTGATATACTGACATGTAGTAAAAATTTGTTAGATTTAAAATTTGATAAACTTTGAGATGTCAAATATGTAAAATGTAGTATTATACATTGATATGTAGGGGAAAAACTATTAGATTAAAAAGTGGTACACAGTACATCATTTTTAATATTTGGTTAATGTTATTTTCCACCATGATTTCCTTAATTGATTATAATAACAAAGAAGTTTTCTTATTTGTGGAACAAAAAATTATATAAATTTTTAAAACAAAAAATTATTTTTGTAATGTAATTGGTACTATTTTTCTTGAAAACAATTAAAGGTAAAGATTTAAACATACTAGCATTCAATCCTTATCTCCTTTTGTCCTAACAATGCTTTCAATTTTCAAAGTTTTCCAAGAAAATCTCTATTTAAAGAATAAAAAAAGAGTAATTATTGGTGGCTAAGTGACAAGTTTCTATTTAGTTTATTAAAGTTAGCAAGCTAAAATGAGATTGAAATTTTGAATAATTAAGTTAATCAAGGTATTTTATCTGGTATTCAACACTATGGTAATAGCAAGTACTTTGACATGTGATGTTCTAATGCAAACAATTACAGGCAGGCAAGAAAAGTAGAAGCTGCATAACAGAGTAGATGGATAGAAGACAAGCCTTGGAATGAGGAAAACCTTGGTTCAAGTTCTTTCTCTGACACATACAAAATCCCATGACAACAGCACTTAACCTCTCAGATTCCCCAGGCAATTTCAATTAAGTTACAGAAGAGTGGCTGATCTGTACTGGAAAAAGTAATTTTCACACCAGAAGTTCCCCACATCAATAAGTTCAGATTCAAAAAAATTAGCATTTTTTACCCCAAATTTCAAGCTACTCAAAGACCAAAGAGTTTCTAGTAGAGAATTTGCTGATAAACAAACAGTGATTATATCTTCTAAACTTCAAGCTACTCTAAGACCAGAACTATGAGAGTTTATAGTAGGGTATTTGCTGATAAACAGTGATTGTATTTCCAAATGAGAATGTTGGAGTTCTACAATTGGTATTAACACTTATACTTCAAAGCTGCGACTTCACTGGTATGTGAATATCCCCTCTACCAATATAGACTACAAAATCTTTATGTCTTGGACATAGTATATAGTCATTGAGAGCTCACTATGGCCAAAACATTCATCATTCCATGGCCAACTGAATGATGAGCCTCTCCAAACCTATCTGGACTCCAACTCAGATGACAAACATATAAACCATAATATGCTCACATGCAATTTTCCAGCCTTAATGGCCCTGCAAAAACTTGAATTCCATTGGCACTGTCTTTAAGAACACACAGTCTCCTCCACATCATGACGAGTCAACAGTGTAGAACTTTAGGCTTTAATAGTGGTAAGGAAAAAAAGTCTGGCTGCCTTTTCCCTAAAGTAAATCAAGGTATGTTCCTCAGTTCTTTTCTTCTCTAACTATACTATAAAAGTACTGGATTTTGAGATCATGCTCACATGCTTTCCTTGCTTCCCCGATATAACCATTTAGGGACTTCAATTACAGAAACCCTCCCTGCCATTCAACAAATATTTATTGAACATCTATTACACATATATCATATTCCTACAGCAAAGATTCTAAGATGAATAAAAAGGAAATATGACATTGTCTCTGAACTCTGGAAACTTAAAATCCAGTTAAGGATTTAAAATTTATACAGAGCAAGGTCATGTATGATTAAGAGTCAAAATAAGTGATACTAAGTGCTATAGAAACTTGCAGAAAGGACTAGATTGAAGCAACTGTAGGAAACCTTATGAAAGAAGAGTTAGGCTGAATACTAAAAGAAGGGCAGAAAATCCTAATAGCCAAAGGCCACTTGAGCTAAGCATTTTATTAGTCTATTTGAAATTTTTAAAATTTAAATCAGTTTGTACCTTTAATACTGTGGTCACTCCCTTCTTGCCTATTACTGATACAGTAAAGACTGTACCATTAGACAAGAAATGTGGATATGTAATGGGATAAAAAATCTAGCCAAATTTGATCATTAAATAGGATGTAAATCAAGATTGGCCTGTAACACAAACTGAAAAGTTCTATGCTCATTGACTCTTACAAATTTTAATTCTGATTCAGAACCAATAAGTCTGTTAGCCTCTTCCCTTCATCAGTACTCTTGCCCCAGATCCTCAGAATCATAAGACCGCAACTAGGCTGACCACCCCTCATCCCTTTGTAGCATTTGTCATCTATGTCCCTTTCTCTCCTCTAACACTGCTACTACCCTAGTGCAGACCTTCATCACCTTATGCCTGGACTACTGCAATAGGCTGCTTATTGTCTCCCTGTCTCAAGCCTATCCATATTCTTGTCCATCTTCCATTCAATTGTCTAGATCTTTCTAAAGTTCAGGTCTAATCATATCACCACCACCTCCATTCAATAAATTCCAGTGACTCCTTATTATTTCCAGGATCAAATATAAAATCCTCTGTTTGGTGTTCAAAGCCCTTCATAACCTGCCCTCCCCACCACCTACCTTTCCATTCTCCTTAAACCTCCCACACCCTCATTCACTCTTCCTTACAATGACATTAGCTTCCTTACTGCTCCTCACAGTAGACAATCCTTCTCCAGGCTTTGAGCCTTTTCACGAGCTATCTCCCATGCCGGGCACATTCTTCCTCCTCATTTCTACCTCCCAGTTTCCCTCACTTCCTTCAAGTATCATTTAAAGTCCAACCTTCTCCAAAAAACCTTTCTTGGTCCTCTACAATGTAGTGCCTTCCCTCTGAGATTATGCCTCAGTTTATCCAGTATTTATCTTGTTTGTGCATAGCTGGTTGTTGGCATTTTGTCTTCCCTATTAGCCCTCCTTGAGAGCAGGGACCCGGTCTCAGTCTGGCACACAGTAGACACTTAATAAGTGCTTGCTAACTGACTGACTGACACCCCCCCTCATTTGCAACAGGTTCATCGCAGGTAGGTCACCATGACCCCTCCTCCTATCCAGGCATCTTTTCCACCACCATCCTCAATTCCCAAGTCAGGGTTTGAGGGCCATGTCATGGGCTGCCAGGGATCTGCCCTGGGATTTCTGGAGCATGGATGCGTCCTACCCTAACTGGTGGACCTCCACTTCCACAGACGTACACCAGTGCGTACCGGCCCCCGCCTGCCCCTGGCCCCTGCAGTGACCAAGTTCCAGGAGCCATCCATCCCTCCCCTCTCACGGGCACAAGCCCACATCCCCCACAGCTCCGCCGGGACCGAGGTTACAGCGCAGCAGCGGCGGCAGCTACAGCCCGAGCCCATCCCCACCAGCCCGCCTCCCCCTCCCCCAGGGCCCCACCCCCCAGGACCCATAGCAGACCAGTTTAAGGACCGGTCCACAGTCTGTTTCTATGGTAATCCCCTGGGAATCACGTGACCCGCGCGGACGACCAATCGTCTCTTACCTCTGCCTCCTCCAGCGGTTTTGCTTTCTGCCCTTCCTCTTTTTTTTTCCGCCCACCCCTTTCTCCCAGCCCCGCCCCCTTTCTGCGTGGGGGGAGGGGGAAGGGGAGTTCGCGCTTGCGTACAAAGAGAGGCGCGCTTCCTCCGCGGGCTCGCGCTGCCTCGGTGGGGGAGGGGCGGGACCAAGCGCTGGAGTCCGCCCCTCCCCAGGACGCAGGCGTAGTAGCGGCCGGCGCCGCAGCGGGCGACGCCCCAGAGCGGAAGAGGGAAGTGAAGGCGAAGAGCGAGCAGAAGAAGCCGGAGCCGGAGCCGGAGCCGGAGGTGGGGGGGTCGGGGACAGCAGGGGACCCGGGGGAGGAGACAGCGGCGGCGGCGACCACCACAGGGGCTAATTGCCACCCGGTCCGGCGTGGGGATGTCGAAGCACACGGTGTCGTCGGCCCGGTTCCGAAAGGTGGATGTGGATGAGTATGACGAGAACAAGTTCGTGGACGAGGAGGACGGGGGCGAGGGCCAGGCAGGGCCCGACGAGGGCGAGGTGGACTCGTGCCTGCGACAATATCCTTCCGCCCACCCGCGGGTCCCGGGCCGCCCTTCCCCCACAGCCTCCCCCTCAGCCCTCCCCGCGCGTGCGTGGGCCGGACCTGTCACTGGCCTGGCCCCCGTCTCAGGAGAGGAGGAGATGGGGGGGCCTCCAGCAAGCCCCTGCCCACGAACCCGGGGCGTCTTTTTCCCTCCCCTCCCACGCCATCGCCCTTTTGACGCTTCCGTGGGCTGGTTTTTTTCAGGAGAGTGCAGCCGTGGCCCAAGAAGGCGTATTATAATAGTCAGTGGGTGTTGTCCCCTGTATAGACCGATATACTGAAAGCTATCATCCAAGGAGCCTCCTAACATTCAGGGGGAGGGAGATCATTAGAAGGCTTTTTTTTTCCTTTCAGAATTTAAAATCATTTTCCGGGGGGAGGGGGCAATAGAGTTTTTATCCCCGTCTCTATTCCCAATATCTCCTTATCCTTCTGGCAGGTGAGTTTTTCCTAATCGTGAAGCTAGTTAGAATAACTTGTTTTATCCAGCATCACTTAAGTAATAGGTGAGTTCTTTCTAATCGTGGAGGTTGTTAGAATAACGTCTTTTGTCCAGCGTTGATTAGATAATAGAACTACAGCCCTTACCCTAGAGTTGCCTCAGAAAAAAAAAAAGAAAATTGTCAAGAAAACCTCGAGCCCCTTATCTGGTGGAATTATACCTGGCAAGAATTAGCCATGAATGAGGAAGATGGTATCTGGGAGGATCTAAAGTAAAATCCCACCCATTAAACCCTAGAGGAACATAACGTCTTGAGTAATGCAAAATCATTTGAGTGATTTTCAGATTGCTTCCATTTTTAGTTTAAATGAGGCTATCGTTTCCCAGCTTTTGTATATCTGAATATTCATAACTGGGTGTAAATACATTTTATAGAATCTGTGGGAAGGTGTAGGTGTTGCAGCAACCAGATCGGTTTTTTAAAAATCTCATGCTAGAGTTTTATGTTTTACACTTTAGTAATTTTCTTAGAATTTTTTTTTCAATCAGATGAGGAAGGACTTTTTTTTTAATCAGCTTTTGTTATATATGAGATTAAAGTGTTGGGGGAGAGGTGTGCAAAAAGTAAATATACTTGGTAGTACCTTTAATGTATTAAGGCATTCCCAAGCAGAGCTCTAAGTATTTATAATCATCATTATTCTTCTGAATTTCTCTGCTTTTACATGGAAATGTTACATTCTGCCTATATGAGCTGTGGTTATGTTCTATTACCTTTCTGTGAAATATTTAATTATCATCTCTCACCCCATATGTACCTAAACTACAGAAAGGATATGCTAGAAGCCTCCTAGGTCTCCTTGAAAATAGTAGGAGGGAAATTAATTTTTTGGTTTTTGTTTTTTAATTCAGTCATTGATTCCTCTAACCCAATAGGATATAAGAGGCAATATCCTTTCCAACTTACCATAAATTGTCTTCTGTGAACAAATTATCATTTAAAGACAGCCTGATGTAGTAGAAAGAATACTGGAGTATGAAGAAAGACCCAGGTTCTGATCCTAGCTCTGTCAATTCTGAGCTTTGTGATCTTGGGCAAGTCAGTTTCCCTTTGGAGCTCAGTTTCCTCAATTGTAAAATGAAAGGGTTGAAGACTATATGAACTCTTTCTAAGGACCCCTGGTGCCCTAAACCTATGATTTTTAATGACTGATTTAAGTATCTCTGCGTGATTTTTAAGTGATATGACTATATTTTCATTAAGATAGTAATTTCATTTGAAATATTAGTAGATCAGTAGATAAAACTGCAGTTATTAAAAGCGTAGTGTCTTGTCTTCTTTATTTTACTAGAGCTAGGGAAAGATGCAGTCTTGGAGCCAGTCTATATGGTTCTATAGATGGAGGAAACGAATGAACCCTGTGTGGTTTTCCTTTTAGGGGAATAACTCTACATTCTGACAGTCTGATTGGCTTTCAGTTCCTCATGATTGCTCAGTCGGTGGTGCTTTCAAGAAGGAGGGTTTGAGTCTTGTTGGTATGGTCTAAATTTGGTGATTAATGTTTTGAAAAGTTCAAGAAAAAGAAGAAAAGAAACATTTTCTAAATTGAATAGTTAAATGAAACTTTTAATTAAAGAACAATATAGAGAATTATTTATAGTTTATTGCCCCTTCTTACCTTGGTTTTCTAGTGCTTCTTTAAAGAAGATGGCCTTATTGGATATTGCAGAGGTGCCATTAGTTCAAATTAGCAGTGTTTTAGTATCCTCTTTAACTTAATATAAGGTTTTGGTAATGAGACAATATAATTGTTTTCTGTTAGAACTTCCTGTTTTGGTAGATGACAGGCTAAGGTTTTCCCATTAGGACTACACCATTTGGAGGATACAATAATTCTATTGTAATCTATTGGGGTTTCTGTAATACTTACTGTGTTAAATCTTGGAATGATTTTTTTGCATGCTGATGTTATTTGAAAATCAAAACCATTCAAGCTTATTTTAAGGATTTTAGGAACAAATGTGAATGAATGAAGTAAGAACAAATGGTAGTGTCACTTTTTTTTTAAATGTTTGTATGTATTTATAATATAAAAAGGATTTCATTGTAAATTTACCTCCTAGAAGCTATGACATTGAATTTTCTAATAAGCATCTAAAATAGTAGCATAAGGTACAAAGATACAATACAAATACAAATAATAAAAAGGTAGTAAAGGAATACATAAAGGGACACTATTTCACGAATAGCTTTAATGCATTCGAGTACTTGGTTTTCTTGTTATCCTTAACTTCTATTACAGGGAACATGACAGCTGCATTACAGGCAGCTCTGAAAAACCCTCCAATCAACACCAAGAGTCAAGCAGTTAAGGTAAGTCATTAACAACGTAGATCTCTGCTCCTATTGATGCTACTTGCTGAGGCTTAGGTAAATAAGAAATTCAAAGAAGTATAACAGTTCCTGCTTTTATTTCAACTATCAACTCCTTAAGAGCATACCCACATCGGGCAGCTAGGTGGTGCAGTGGGCAGAGCACCCATCCTGGGGTCAGGAGGACCTGAGTTCACTTCCTGCCTCAGATGACGGGCGTTCTAGCTGTGTGGTCCTGGGCAAGTCACTTACCCCCATTGCCTCTACCAAAGAAAAAAAGTATACATACAAAAATAACAATACAAAGCAGTATATGATAAGTAGGGGCTCCTAGGTGGCGCCATAGTGCATAGAGCACCAGCCCTAGAGTGAGGAAGACCTCTCAAGTTCAAATCTGGCCTCTGACACTTACTAGCTGTGTGACCCTGAGCAAGTCACTTAACCCTGTTTGCCTCCCTTCTTCACCTGTAAAATGAGCTAGAGAAGGAAATGGCAAACCTCTCCAGTATCTTTGCCAAGAATACCCCAAATGGGGTCACAAAGAGTCGGACACAACTGATACAACCAAATACTGTAAGTGGCAAATTAATAATGTGGACAGTAAGTGCTCTTGGAGTTCGGAGGAGAGGAACAGATCACTTTAGGCTAGAGCATGGGTGGTATAGGGGAAAGAAGGCTCAGCTTGGAGGCTGAGGCGCTTGCACTGGTTCATTTCTTGCCTCTGATGCTTTGCTAGTTGTGGAACCATGGGCAAGCCTCTGAACTTCAGTTTGCCCCTGTGTTCCCCATGAGGTTAATATTATTATTAATTATAATTATTAATATTCTGTAGTGATGTTAACTACAGAAGTTATCTGATATGACACGATATGGAGACAGTATAGTATTGTAGACAGAGGAATGAACTTGTGAACACAGGACCTGAATTTGAATCCCACAAGTCACTCAACTTCTCTGAGTATCCTCATCTGTAAGATAAAGAATTTGGATTCAGTAATCTCCCAGGTTTCTTCCAACTCTAGTTCTGTGGTCCTATGCCTGTATATATGTCAGCTGTGATGATGGTTTCTCTTTAGTTCAACCTAAAGTTGAAGTGAGGTTTGAACTAGGCCTTGAAGGATAGGTGGAATTTAGGTGGCTTGTCAAAAATAAGCTCATTCTATTCATTCACTAACTCCCAATAGAGCGCAAGTATTTTTGTCACCAAGAAATTGTATGTTATAGCATTGAATCCACTCTCATTGCCTGTTAAGACCCCCTAAATAAATGCTGGTAAAGGTCAGGTTGATTGTAAGATTCTATTTTATGGCAGTTGCAGTATATAGTATCTTAAATTTGGAAGTAATTTAAACAGATTGATGTTTTGTATCGGAAACAAATTTTCTTGGTTTCCAAACTGGGGGGGGGGGGGGGACCACTTCTGAAATGGTAGCTTGGTAGCTTTTTTTCAGTTTACATGTGGGAGGTTCTTACATTGCACTGTTTGAATAGATCTCCAAATCCTGTAGCTGCAGAGTTTCTAAGTTGCTTACCTATAGATAACAATAAATGGTGAAGACATTTTATAATATTCAAATTTAAAAGTTCTAAAGGGAACCAAGGGATTTTGAAAGGACTGGGTTTTCTTTGGTTGGTCTGATTATTAACCTATGGTCTTGGGAATGTGTGGAAGTGAGGAAACAGCTCTGCTCTTTGGACAGCCTTTGTAAAAGAAATCATTGAAGACAAATGAGTACATACACGTTTTACCACACTAATCTTATCTCTACTGCAGGAGAGAACCACACCCTTTAAAGAGAAGATTAATCCAGGCTGAAATCAAGGCCATCTTGTAAAAGTTTTAGATCTTGGTCTGTAACTTCAAGACAAACTTTTAACCAGATCTTTTTCCTACCTAACCTTCCAAAGCAAGCTTTGCAAGATTAAAATTGGAGTCAAAGTGCTACATTGATTCAAATCTCACTTCGGACACCTGTTATTTGTGTAGCATTTAGCAAGTTACTTAACTCACTTTGCCCTTGGTTTCTTAGACTAGACAGTCTCTGAAGTTCCTTCTATTTTTAAATCTCTGATTTAATGCATCCAGATGGAAAAATTTCAAACTTTTAGGCTTTAAAAGTTGCAGCCATTTGTAATGTAAAAAATATCAAAATTACAGACACTAAGGTGTGATGAACATGCATTGCTAAGTTTTTATTCTCACTCAAAGCTGCTTCAGGGCTCAACTTTTTTTTTTTTAAACTTCCTTATTCCCTTTTTCTCTAGACTTCCTCCAGGTTTATTTAGAATGATGATATAGTAATAATGATCTTGCCTTCAGCTTCATAGTCAATGTGTATTCTAGGTTTTAGATGTTCAGTTATGGCAATTCCAGCAGTGCTACCATGTTAGTCACATCAGGGTTATAGAATTCACCTTCACTTCTAACAAGTTGTATGACATACATTTTTTGATTGTATAAGTAATGCCCTTGAAGTTATTGTATCTACTTTTCTGTGTACTGTTGTAGGTGGGGGTAATAATGGGTAAACAATTTAAAAATTAAGCAATACAGTATATATTAAGGATCAGAACTTACTGATACTGGATGGGAACTAGAGAATAAATGGTCTGTATCTCATGTTTCAACAACCAGTAAAATTCTAGATATAATCGTAAGTGATTATTTAAGGCTACCCTTTTCTTACAGCCACAGAAAAGCCAAGGAAACTAAAGACATAATTCAGAATGCCATAACTTTGGCTGTGGCAGGATGGGCAAGCTGGAGAACTAGGAGATAGAGAAAGGAATTCTTGTCCTGTACATCAGGAAGCTTTAATTCTGGGATCAAGAACCGGTATTCCATATACCATCCCAGTGCTATCTTGAGCTAAACTAGCATAATCCAGAATTCCTTCATTGGCCTCTTTCTCATATTGGTCCTAGGGAACCTAGCAATAAGTTGTCTGTTAATGCTATAGAAGTACCTAGCACATGTGTGTGCACATGTACACACACATACACACACACACACACACACACACACTCTATGTGGCTTGGAGATGCCATGGAGTTAAAACTTCTTCCTGGATGTAGCTATGTTACATGGAACCTGCTCTCCTTATCCCCTCCAATAAAAGGATCCTGGGAAAAGGGCAATGCACTGGGACCTGAGTTCAGATCCCTACTCTGGTTCTTGTTACCTGGGTGACTTAACCTCTCTGGGCCTTCATTTACTTATTGGTAAGGTCCCTTTCCAACTCTAACCCTTTGATCAGTCCTGTCTGATTGACTATCTGAGACCCTTTCCAGCTGCTGTGGGGAGTTATGAATTCCAATCCAGAGCTGGTCTTTCCACCATCTCTTAGCTGACATTAAGAGCAGTGTCTGTATCTAATTCAGCTCCTTATCGCAATATGTGTACATATGCATTTTCTTGCAGGACCGAGCAGGCAGCATCGTCCTGAAGGTGCTTATCTCTTTTAAAGCTAATGATATTGAGAAAGCAGTGCAGTCTCTGGACAAGAACGGTGTGGATCTTCTAATGAAGTACATTTATAAGGGCTTTGAAAGCCCCTCAGATAATAGCAGCGCTGTGCTACTGCAGTGGCATGAAAAGGTCAGTTTATGACATACCATTTTTGTGAGATTGATGGTTCTCTTCTAAGTAAACAAGTAAGAAATAATAGCCCTTCCAGAAAAGGATGTTATTTGCTTCTGGTGGTGTATCTTAATTTTTCTTCTTTTTATTTTTACAGGTAATTGTTGGAAAATAAGATTTAGACTTTGGGGTTCACTGTCCAGGATTATCCTCTTAGGCTATTTTACTATTTTTGACACTGATATTCCCTGTAGTAATGCATAAGCTTCAGCGCTTCAAGAATCTGCAATATGAGCAGCCCTTCTATTGTACTGCTGCAAGCAGCTCCACTAAATGTAGGTGGTTGCCGTTCAGCGTTTTGCAGTGGTTCAAATTTTCTTTGCTCTGCAGACAATCTAGATGAACCTCTCCAGATTTAGCTTGGCTGGTTCTCAGAAAAGAGATTTGCAGATCTTCACTGGGCCTGTATGCAAAGCCTTTCTATCTTGGTAGGACCTGCGAGAGCTATTCTGTTGGTATAGTCTTTGAGAACCCAGGGTCATCTTCACAACATGGTGAGGTATTTGAATAGGGCTTTTGTTGTGGTACTCTGGGAATATCTGGTAATACTTTTAGAGTAATACATAGTAATATATGACAGGTGGTCAAGCATTAATTAAGCACCAGTTATGTGCCAGGCAGTGTGCTAAGTACTGGGAATACAAAAAAAAAGCCAAGACAATCCCTGCCCTGAAGGGGCTTACGGTCTAATGGGGAAGACAAACGAGTAATTAAACAACTATGTATAAACCAGTTATACAGGATAAATAGGAGAGAAGGCACTAGGATTAAGAGGATCAAGAAAGGCCTGTAGAAGAGGAAATTTTTTTCTAGGACTTGAAAGAAACCAGGAGGTGGAGATAAGAGAAAACATTCCAGGCAGGGAATAGCCAGAGACAATGCCCGGAGCCTAGAGATGATGTGTCTTGTTTAAGAAATGGCCAGGAGGCCAGTGTGATTTTGGATCAAAGAGTGTAAGGTATAAGAAGACTGGAAAGGTAAGAGGGGCCAGTGTTATGAAGGGCTTTGAATACCAGAGGATTTCATATTTGATCCTAGAGGTGACAGGGAGCCACTGGAATTTCTTGAGTAGGGTGATATGATCCATCTGTGCTTTTGGCAAGTTACTTTGGTAGCTGAGTAGAGGGTGAACTTGAGTGAGGAGAGACTTATGGTAGGCTGACCAGCTGATGGGCTGTTAGAGTAGTTCAGGCATAAGGAGATGAGGTCCTGCACCAGGGTGGTAGCAGTGTCCAAGGAAAGAAGGAAGTGTATTTGAGAGTTGTTATGAAGGTGAAATGGACAGAACTTGGCAATGGATTGGGAGTGGTTGATAGATAGTGAGGAATCAAGGATGACACCTAAGTTTTAAGTCAGATTTTTACTTTGTAACAAGAACTAGGAAATCTTAAACCTTATTGTTGTTAGGCAGATTATTTCCCCAGATTACAGACATGTAAACAAAACCCTGGCCCTTTTTAAGGGAACCGTGATCCTAACGGGAAAGGAAAATGGGAATCGTGATATGATTCATGTCCTGGGCAGCACCTGAATAAAATGCTATTTCTACAAAAAGCATAGTAGCTGCCTTTGACAGTATGAAATGTACAACTTCTATATGCAGTTCAAATAAATCTATGCTTTAAATGTAACTGCCATATCTCATGTTAAGCAGTAGAGAACTGTTGAAAATTTTTAAGCAGTAGAGTGACATTCTGCTTGTTGAAAATATTTTCTAGTTGCTACCAAGTGACTTAAAAAATATTTTACAAGTTATAATCAAAATTTTGGCTCTGAGTTGCCACAGTCAATTTAGTTTTACACGGACATGTACCATTTATAATTTGCTCCTATCAAGTATGTATACAAAATTATTAAAACTTAAAAACTGCTAAACTATGTCCTCCTATATGTTAAAACACACACAAAAAGACCCATTCAGGTGGAAGATAATGATTGAAAAATCCAATCACTTTGAATTACTTTGGGCCCTGTTTCTTCAAAAATATAAGGAAATGGTCCTGGTTTAAATCTTTTAGAATATCTTATTAGTTATTAAATAGTACCTTTTCAATTTAAGAAGAATCTTTGACTAAAAAAATACTACCCCAATCTGAATAGATATTGGGGTGGTGGATTTTTAGCTTGAATCACTGACTCATCATTTGTTTTAAAATAAGCATATCAGAGTTGAAGTTTAGATACATTCTTGAGAATTTGGATATATCCCCATTTATATTTGCTTATCCATGTGTTCATGAATTTAAATGGGAAGGTTTCATTTTGATGCTTCTTTTCAACATATAGTACTATATAATGTAAAAATCAACATCTTCACCCAGTTTTGTGTTGTCAGTACAAATTAACCCCCAACATTTTGCATAATCTAAAGATGTCTGGTTAATGATTTTGTTTCAACATTTGCCTTTTGGTTTGTTTATAGGCACTTGCTGCTGGAGGGGTAGGGTCCATCGTTCGAGTCTTGACTGCCAGGAAAACAGTTTAGTCCAGCAAAAAGTGGGCACCTGCCACGGCTATGGGAGTTGCTGGTACAAAGACCAAAACAGCCAAATGCCGCTGCTGCCCTGTGGGGAGCGTCTGCGTCTCTCAGCTTTGCCTTCTTGCTTCTTTTTTCATATCTGTGAAGGAAAAAAATGCATATCGGTTTTTTCTTTAGTTAAAAATTGGGGTAATGTAGAGGTGCAGTTTTGTTTTAACAGGCATATTTGATGCTCTCAAAACTGTTTCAGTCACACACACACACACACACACACACACCCGTGTATAGAGTGATTTGCATTCAAATATACTTGTGCAGTTTTAACCCCTGTTAGCTGGATCTTTCAAACTGATACATTGGTATTTGATCAAAACCTGAGGGCAGTGTCTTAATACATTGCCAATCAGGCAGTATACCTTAAAAGAGATGTTTGAAAGACTGGCAGCTATTAATACAGCAAAACTGGACCAACTTCTGGTCAAGAAGAATGTATTACTGAAACAGATTTTTTTTTTAAAGAAAATACACACACCTTGCAGCTTTGGTTCTCTTTGCATCCAGATTATCTATGTTGTGAGTTGTGTGTTCTTTCTCTCAGCATCTGCTATTTATATCTTCTCAGTTTCTTTGACTATTCAGGATCCAGAACAAGGGGTCATCATATATTCAGAAATATCTGCACAATATTACTGCCTGACTAGCATAAGCATAAAGCTTTTGCCCCCGTGGAATGGCCCTGTTTAAGGGAACTGTGATCCTAATGGGAAAGGAAAATGGGAATCGTGATATGATTCATGTCCTGGGCAGCACCTGAGTAAAATGCTATTTCTACAAAAAGCATAGTAGCTGCCTTTGACAGTGTGAAATGTACAACTGGTATGTGCCCTATAGTTGTCTCTCTGATCAGTGTTCTTCAGGTAGTTGGGATCTCAAAAGATTTGGTTCTGATCCAAACACATACACATTCCGTGTATTATTATAGTGTTTTGTTTTTAAGAGAAACAGCCACACAACAAAAAAGTGTTTACTTTGTTGGATAAACCAAATCAATTCTCTCAGAAATGACAGGTGCTTTTAAAAAGCTATTCTTCAGGAACTCTAGAGCAAACCACCTGGGACCACCTGAATGCATATGACCAGGAGGGAAACAGCCTGTGTCTAATACTTACGTCCGACACCAGTTCACATATCGGTTATTTCTGTGAAAACTGGTGCAGAATTTCAGAAAACTCTTTGCTGTTTTTGATACCTGCTTTTTTTTTTTTGTAAAAATGATGAAGTTCTGAAAATAAATTGTCATTGTTGAATATTTTATTTTTCTAGATGTCTTATTTTTTTGATAGTTGTGAAAGTAAAGGTCATATAGAAGAAATACTTTGTGAGATCATCTGTCTGGAAACGTTACTGGGTCTATTAGAAACCTTATTTCTGGCCCAGCCTCTCATGTAAGATTCTCTTAAAATAAAAATTAGGAATGAAACTACAAATAGAGTATTTGGATAGCAAAAGGGATATAGCAAGAAGACAATTTCTGTGCAAGAAGCTATCCCTAAGGAGCAGCTAGGTGGCACAGTGGACGGAGCACCAACCCTGGATTCAGGAGGACCTGAGTTCAAATCAGGCCTTAGACGCATAACTTACTACCTGTGTGACTGTGGGCAAGTCACTTAACCCCATTGCCTAGCCAAAAGAAAAAAAAGCTATCCCTAATACTTACGATTTATAAGTGTTTTTATTGGGTCAAGTACTTCCAAATATTAATTTGTTTGCATTGACATTTAGAAATTAAAAACAAACCAGAAAAAGAAGCATTAACAAACCAGAACTCATCCATAGGAGCATAATCAGGATGGTGAAGGGATGCCAAAGCATGTCATGTGAAGAATGAAAATTATTTAGGAGAAAACTGAGAGGTGGCATATCTGTCTTCAGATACTCAAGAATGTTTTGTTCTGGAATTCTGTTACTCCAGAAGATTGCACGAGGCCTAATGAGCAGTAAATATACAAGTTAGAGAATTTTGAGGTGACTGACTTGTGACTACAGAATAGGAATCTCCAATATTAATGCTCCAGTCTGCAGACATTTCACTGTGGTGCCAAATGAGCAACAAGCAACAGTGAATTCTTGCAAGCAGTTTTGATCATGGAAGTCTGCTGACCAAAAACTAGCATTGTTGAAGCATTGGTGGTAGTTGAGTTACTGAGTACTGTGGAGATACGGATTTGTTCCTTTTCCAGAAGGAGTCAAGTTTCCTACTGCACATAATAAAGTAGTGGAAGGAGTATTAAACTTGGGAGCCAGTCCCTGGGTTTGAGCTCTGACTCCGTTGTGCACCCTTGTCATTTATTCTTTCTTATCCTTGGTTTCCTGTGTAAGATGGGCATGATACGTTCCTTACCTGTCTCACGGTTGGCAGAGCTCAACTTCATGTGAAGCCCTCTGTAATAATAAGAACATTATAAAAATGTTGAATGGCTAGAAATACAATATGGGAGGGTACTTAAGCATAGAACTAACGAGCCAAGCTTTGTAGTACAGACAAGTAGAGTTGTCAAAGGAGAAGGGGGCTGAGGTACTTGAAAGAAGCTTTGTGGAGGAGATAGGACTTGAGACCGTGGAGCTATGAAAATTCAATAGGCAGGTAAATCTAGTTTTCAAAGGGTCTGCTCAAGTTCAGAGTTCATCCCAGCCCTGGGTCATGCAGTCTTGAGAACCCAGGATGTAGCTTGTGAATATCATTTAGGATGAACCCTGAGATATATGTGGGCATAAGGCAGTAGAGCGATACTCAACCATCACCCTAGTACATCTTAGTATTTCAGTGGGATGCTGGAACAAGGCAAGTTTCAGATGTTGTTGCTCTCTTTTCCACGTTTATCCTCCTTTCATTCTTGGCTTTGTTATTTCCCTGCCTCCCTTGCCATGTATCCCTTTATTTTTTTTTATCCCAATGTTTTCTCTTTGCTCCCTCCCTTTTTTCTGTCATAACTGCTTTCCCTTGTAATCCTATCTTTTTCTACCCAGTCACATCTGATTCTCAGCTGCTTGAGCACTCAGAGTAATTTCGTGCAAATTAGAGATGTGTGCTGAATCATTTATTTTAGACTTGAGTTTTTGTTTTGTTTTGGTGGAGGGAAGGGCCTTCTCTTTTCAAAAAAAAAAATACATATTTTGTTTTACATAACCATTTTGAAATACACCCCCTACTCAGCAAGCCATACTTTACAACAAAAGATTAAAATAGAAAAATCTTCCCCTGCTTCTCTGAACTCTTCATATTCTTATAGTGCAATAATATTAGTGCTGAGTCATTTGTAATATTCTAGATAAAATTAGACCAAGTTGTACCCCTTCCCATATTTGAGTAGTGCTCAAAATTCAGAAAAAAATGTGTCGTTTTTAAACTGAGTTGCTAGGGATTGTTTAGGATTTGATTATCATAAATCTGATCAACAATTGGCAAATAAAAAATAAAATAGCCATCCACAGTTCATCCGTAGTGCTACTGCACAAAGAATGAAATAATCTCAATATGTAAAGAGTTTATATTCTAATGGGGGAGATGAACAAAGACATAAATAAAGGTAAAATGAGTAAATACAAAAAAGATAAAAATAAGGTAGCTCTGACAGGGAGGACACTAGGAGGTGGGATTAGGAACAGCTTCATGGAGAAGATGGCGCTTGAGTTTAGTCTTAAAGGAAAAAAGTGCATTCTAGGCATGTGGGATGGTCAGTCAGATGAAATTTCAGGTGAAGAAAATAGAGAAGGCAAGTTTGACTGGATGTCAGAGTATGGAAGGGGGAGTAATATCCATTGAAACTGTAAAGATAGGTTGGGGACAATTTAGAAAACTAGACAGGAGTTTTTGTTTTATCCTAGACACATCAGGAAACCACTGGAGTTAAGTATTGAGTCACAGGGTCAGGAAAATTACTTCGACAGCAGTCTCTATTGTGAACTAGAATGGGGACAGATGGGGCAGGGTGGAGGGTGTTGCAATAATTTAGTCAATCACCACCAACTAAGGTAGTAGCTGCGCTGAATGGAGAGAAGAGGTTGGATGAAAGAGATGGGAAGTTAGGAATAGCAAGATGTGACAGCTAATGGAGATAATGTGGGATGAGAAAGAGTGGAGGATGATGCCAACATTACAAACCTTAGAGCCTAGAAGTATGGTGGTGCTTTCAACAGAAACAAAAGTTTGGGGGAAAAGATAATGAGTTCAATTTTGGACATGCTGAAGTATCCAACAGGCAATTAGTGGTGTGTGGCTGACAAAAGACTGGGGCTGGATATAGATCTATCTGAGTCATCTGCATAAAGGTAATAACTAAACCCATGGGAACTAAGGACCAAGAGAGAATGTAGAGGAAGAAGAGAAGGGGGCCCAGGACAGAACACCCACAGTTTAGGGAAGAGGGAATATGAATGATGTGCCAGCAAGGCAGGGGTCATATAGGTGGGAAAACCAGGAGAGACTAGTGTCAGGACAAAAAAGAGAGAATATCCAAGAAAATTGGGTGGTCATCAGTGTCAAAGGCAACAGACAGGTTAAGAAGGCTTAGGACTGAGAAAAACCATTAGATTTGGCAAATAACCAACCACTGATGACTTTGAAGAGAACAGTTTCAGTGAAGTTTGAAGCCCTATTGGAATGTAGAACCCTTTAGGAGGGATCTCTACAAAACAAAGGCTCAATTATGCTGACACATTTGTGATCCAGTAGAAGGGAAGGAGCGGGCAGCTCTACGAACTGACATACCTGTGTACTTCTTGCTAGCTAAGGAGGACCCAGAACCGGGGAGCAACAGAAAGATGTTCTTAAACTGGAGACGTAAGGAGCAAACTGAAAGTAAGATACCTCATTCACCCCTAGGTGGTGCCACTCAGCTACACTGGTGTATTACTTTCTGATGGATTCTTAAGTACAGTATTCAAAGTAGAAATCCAAAACCCTGGGTTTTCTTTGCCATTAATAAATTTGCCTTGTGAGCATAAATGGGATGATGCTGGGTTCTTGAAGACTATGCCAACAGAACACAAACTCTGGCAGGTGCTACCATGTTGGATGAGGTGATAGTAAAGCTAAATTTTGAGTAATTTTCATCATTAAATTGGCCATGAAGTTACTAAATTTTCAGCCACAAAAACTCTTAAAGACTATTTACTAAGTTATATAGGCATTGTGATATGAGTTGGCGAAGGGAGTACTAATGACAAAATCACAGATTATTGGAAATATTGGAATCTAAGGAAGGACATGATAAATTATCTAGTCCACATTCTTACAGGCAAGAAAGCAGGCCCAGAGAGGTCTTTGTCCAAGTTTCAACCTTCTGACTCCAAATTCTGTGTTTTTCCTACTATCTATATTCTCTCTCTCTCTCTCTCCCTCTGTGTGTGTGTGTGTGTGTGTAATCTATTTCTGGCACTCAAGAATCCCCCACCCCACCCTTCTCCACCCCAGTGTGCCAGCCAATCTCTTTCTCTAACCCTTCAAAACCTTTTTCTGACTGTTCAAAAGCCTTCATAATCTAATGCTGCCACACACACACACACACACACACACACACACACACACACCCCCCTTTCTTCAGGTCTCTTCAGTCTTTTCCTTTTGCAACCTGAAATGGGATTGGTGTCATTCATCTTCTCTGTTGAAACTGGAAGCATCCCAAGACTGAAGAGACCTGA